GGCATTCAGAACAGCTGGTTTCGCCAGTTGGCTAGTGTCAATGCGCTCATAACGTCGTCTTGGGCGTCTGCCAAAACGTATCCGCAGGTCAGCACATACAAGTGCATGGTCGGTGTCAACACCTGTGCTCCAAATCGAGCGACAGTTCTGGATGCAGCCTCTCCATCGGTAACTGATCGCAATGTGGATCGATTTGCGTCTAATGACCGTGGGTGCCAAGTCACCCCCCGGCGGGTGCTGTGTCGGAAATTAGTGCTCGCAAGAAATAAGCGAGCATCTTCACACAAACGAAGCAACCGCTCAAGGTTATCATTACGGGAGCCTACACCATGTTGGCCGCCCAGATGCAGTTCATCGGTGGAGAATTTTCCAACTTGAGCATTCAGATCCCCAGCCAGCACAACAATGTCCGAGCTTCTTCTGTGGCGAAGGAACGCGGTTAGTTGCGATAGAAGTCGTCTTTTACCGAATAATCGCTAGTTTGTGGGTGCATAAGCAGCGATGAAGAATAGACACCTGTTAGTCCTGCGCGACTTCGAAGCTTTGAACGAGCCAGCCAATCGGACCGCACACCTCCGGCTACTGATTGGAATCCAGTCAACCAGAGCCGCTTCAGCCCAGGGACTCAGGGCAATACCAACACCGGATTGGCCGGTGCTCGAAGCTGCATCGTCACCGGATAGGCGCAAAGAGGAAATACTGCTGGTGTCGAAGATCGAGGGCTCCAAATGAAAGCCGACGAACTTGGCTTGATCGCTCGCTTTGACATGGGCTTGTCGATAGGGCAGGAGTGACACTCCGCGTTTGCATGTGAGTTGATACTAGAAGATAAACGCCCAGCAAAGCGTGTTGCGGGAGGGACGAGAATCGGGGGTTGAAAACCGGGGGAGTAAAAGTAAAGTTCGTACGGGACGGTAAGGGTGAAAAAGCGCAAGAAGGGGGATAAGTAGACGGAAAGGCTTGAGCAGTAGCATCCAAACCCATATCCACCCTGCTCGATGCAACAGATAGGGCACCGTTGATTATCCTCTGCGGTGGCCAGAGCATCAAGAAACTGTTTGTAGAAAAGCTCATTGTATTGCGGGGGCAGGATACTATCAGGTTGCCCAGGGTTAGACAGAACGATTAGGGCTGTCAATCAAAGCCTTTGGTTCAAAACCTAACCGCAAGGCAGCGGGTTTGGCGTTAGGCTACAAGGAGTCCGTTTTAGGGAATAAGAAGCCATCCTTATTCAAACCCCCAACGTGGAAGACCAGGAGGCTGAGTTTGTCTGACCTCTAACCATCGACCAATCCGGTATGAATGGCTCAGGTGCAAAAGAACACCACCCAGCATAGCTCAATGGATCTGAAGTACGCAAACCATCGCACCACGGTAAGGTCCAGTCTCATTCCGATGGTCGGAGCGATTGGACGTTTTGGACTTGCAGAGACTTGGCTGAACTCCGACGTCATACCCCAAGAAGTCGCGTTGTCAGGATACTCTTGTTGTTTCCGATGCGACCGAAAATCAATGGCGCACGGTGGTGTACATAAAAAAATCGTCACTATCTGGCAAACTTACCAGCACCTATCTGAGTGAGGATAATTTATGCGAGCAATTGTGGTGCACAATCTGCCTCAAACGCGCAGAACTAATAGTGGGTGTTGTCTACCGTAACCCAGTAAACCGCTGTTGCGATTGGCGTCCACATATACAGAAGTACATGAGCCGTCCTCAGTTCTTACTGATGGGGATCTACATTTACATAAGATATTCTGGCCAAATGTTCGGTTTTTTCCCATTCATGGCGACGTTGAGGCTGAATTCGCTAAAATGACTAATGAAATCGGGACAACGCAGCATGTTCTCCAACCGACGCGCGTAACTCCGCATTCGGCATCTTATCTGGACCTAATGTTGACGGTTTGCGAGCAAAAGCTGTAAGAGATCAGTCCTCAAATCTCTAGCGAACAACGACCACTGCTCCATTGTAGTACGTATAGAACTGTCGTTGCCGTATTAGAACCAACGGAAGTCGATATTCAACTATTGGAAGATGGACTTCAACGGGCTCGTCCAAGCCGCAAGTCAGATTTATTGGACACTACCACATGATGCGCCGCTTGAGACCTGTTGGTCTTTACTGAAGGGGAAGCTTAACTCGCTGTGTACTCGCTTCGTTTCCCTGAAGTATTCAAAAGTCGGACCTGTCAAACCGCATTGGTTTGATACAAAATATAGACAGTTAGCGCGACGGCGTCGCAAATTTTGGGATAGATACATCAGCTCGCGTTATGAGGAAGATTACACGGTGAGCAAGAAACAGCAAAATTATGTAACGCCGCAAAGACCAAGAAACGCCGGCAGTTCGAAGAGGAGTTTACATCCTCGGGCATAACTGCACCCAAAAAGAACATTTGCCTACTTGAAACGTCAACTGAAACCTGGGGGCGACCTACCGGTCTTAGAGAGCTTGGACGGACAGACGCTCATTTTAAGCACAGAGCGCGCGGATGCATTGGCTATGCACTTCCTCACCGTACATACCAGCAAACCGGCGGCCGTTCCAGTACCGGCACAGGTTGCGCCATTCTTGCTCGACAGCCTACACTCTGATGCAGTCGAAGTGTATCAGCTACTCGTCAAGCTCGATGGTGCAAAGCCCTCCGGACCTGACGGACTTCACCCACTAATGCTCAAGTCCCTATCGAAGATCATCTCACCAGCCGTGACAAACCTATTCAATAAATCACTCTCTGAAAAATGTGTCCCCAACGACTAGAAATGTTTGATAGTGAGACCGCTTCCCAACGGTGGTGATCCGAGTAAAGTAGAAAATTACAGACCGATCTGTTTGACTTCGATATTATCCAAGGTTCTTGAGATCGTGAAAAAGTATCCGCTGTCGTTCTTCGAACCGATGGGCGTATTGACGCCAGCGCAACACGGCTTTACGAAAGGACGATGCTGTATCACCAACTTGATGTACGCAAACCACCAACGAACGGAGGGATGTTGACGTGGTGTACATCGACTTTAATAAGGCGTTTGATAGAATGAACCACGAGGTACTCCTTCGTAAACTGAGGACCTACGGAATCGGTGGCACGCTACTTCAGTGGTTACACAAGTTTATTGTGGAACGAAAGTTTAGAGTACAGGTCAATATCTACTAGATAGACTGATTTCCACCTGACCAGTGGCGTGCCTCAAAGAACTGTACTTGGGCCAGTATTATTTCTTATTCATATCAACGATCTCCAGCGGCATCTCCAGTCAGCATATGCCCCGTTTGCAGATTTGAAAATCTGGAGGATCACTGAGAATCAGGACGACTGCGCTCGCCTCCAGCATGACTTAGATGGACTGTCAACGTGGTCCACTAAAATGCAACTTTCTTTTAACGCAAGCAAGTCGGAGTTCATCAATATCACCAGACGTCCAGCCACTCAACCATACACCTTGGACGGCCAGTTGATCCACCCTAACACATCTGTCAGAGACTTAGGAGTGCTCTCGCGACATGATGTGTGATCACCAGAAAACAGAAATTATACCGTGCGGGACTTCGTATTCTCTGGGCATTACGACGCAGTTTCTCCACATGGTCCGAAGAAACCGTCTCTCGACTATTCACCTCGCTCATTAGACCAATCCTTGAATACGGCGCCCCAGCTTACCATCCGATAACCCAGTGAGAAACTGAAAAGCTGGAGGAAATACAGCATATCGCAACTAGAATGATACCGAGTCTACGAAAGCTTCCGTATGAAAAAGGTTGTGAAAGGCTCGGACTTTACACACTATCCTACCGCCGAGTAAGAAGTGACCTTATTATGACCCATCGAGTATTACACTCCAATCACTTCCCCATACGGCGGCCAATGCTTCACCTGTGGAAACCTTGTAACACTCGAGAACACCGTTACAAACTCAGGGTCCCCTGCATGGACAAGGTAACAGAAGCTTCGTATAGAACGAAGAATTGTAAACTTATGGAATACACTACCAGAAGGACTAATAGAGGTCGATTCTGTGGTGTTTTTAAACATGTATTGATGATTTTTTCGGAAACCTGTGCTTTTGTGAAACGGTGCACATACAATGCAAAAGATACATATATTGGTCGGACGGCTCGTCAACTGTCACGTCGCATTAAGGAACATAGCCCTAAATGGTTCCTGAACGTGGGCACCGGAGTTCTTACAAGCGGTATTTTGTCTCATCTATTCGCATCAGGTCACCAGATTAACCTCCCGAATGACTTTACTGTGATTTATCAGGTTCCAGTGAGCAAATCGAAAGGTACGCGGTCAAGGATGCTCGCCACTGCAGACGCACTTGCGATCCGCATATTCCAACAGCCACGGTGCTCGAAGAAAAGTTTGTTCAATCTCTATACCTGCCCTGGCCGAACAGCCATCAGTCTAGCGGTCACCCTGACATCGGCTCAAGCATTGTGATTACGTAACCCCCAACCGACCAGTGTGAATGAGACAGTGGCGAACTATTCGCTGTCAAAGCATTGACCGAGTCATTTCAGAACAAACCACCGAACCATTATCCATCCCTTTGTAGTTTAACCTTATATGATTGTACCGGCCAGTAGATGAATCAATGAAAACAATAGTTTGCCTCAGACTGGTGTTCTTAACATCCTATACCCGGTAATAATGACGCCAATACGAATTCCTAACGGAACAAGAATAAACGATTAACTGACCAAAGCCTACCGCTGACGATTCGCAATTAAATGTTTTTGATTTTTCATAATTCCATAGTTGTACAGAAACCTTTCTACTTGCTCTTAAATACAGTCTCAGAATGCATGCTAGTGTGATTCCTTAACTGTATTCCTTTTTCTAAATTCAGGAAAAAATTTCATGTGCCTCTATGTTCTTCGACATCAAATACACTTACGCATCTGACTAAATACGACGATCCGAATTGCGTGCCACGTAATAAACAAAAGAGGCATCTACATTGATCTGAGAGGATGTTCGTTCTATATTAGTACTCCAGCTGACAACAGATGGGTTCGTTTACGTAAAAGAAGCGAGATCACTGACAAAGCTGTGAATTAGTTAAGGTAATGGAATAAGGAGTTGCTCGGAAATATATATTCAAATCGATCTCTTAACAAACCGGAAATAGTAACCAGAGTAGTGGGACATAATTTCACACGGAAAGATAACAGGCGCAGGTCGTGGGGAGTTCGTGATCAAATCTACTTGCAAACTGCTCGGAGTCTATCAAGTGAGATACGAGCTATTTGAAGTCCTCTTTCCAGAATTGGCGGATTTACCGCTTCAAAAGATCCACTTTTGAGCAGACGTTCAAGGTTCTGAATCAATTCACCCGAACGATGGGCCCCGCTGGAGAGGTAGTCAGAGTGTGCGATAATTAAACCAAGTAAAATAGGATAATCCAACACACGCTGTCGGGAGAGAAAAAGAAAGAGCAGGCTAATGGTCATCCGTACAACAATCGAGTGCAGCACTTGGGAAAACAAAACGGTTGACAGAAAAAAAAACAACTAACGACAGACAATTGTGTTACACTGCAGCTAGCAGCGCGTACCATAAGCATGCATAGTAATGAGACAAAAATGAAACAATTCAGCATGCTGAATTGAGGCAGTCCCCGTTCACGTTCTTTTAATTACTAGCTATCTACATAGAAAGGTGCATAAAAGGATGGGTACGAAAGACCTTTGAATTCAATGAGACGTGGCTCCTTCTGTCTAGCATACCAGATATGTGGCAATCTTATTACTAGGGGAGTCATTTCTCATAACTTGCGGTATTGTAAAGTGGAAGCATGAGTACAAAGTGTTAACGTGTTGCTGATGAGGTTGGTTATTATGGTACTCCAGTACGTAACGTGAGAAGCAGATACTTCCGTGTCGTGGAATCTAGGGTCTTCACTACGCGGCCGGTCCGGCATCACCTAGATAAAATTCTACCAAAGTAGAAGTGGATCGGAAAAGTTTTTAAGATGGCAGACAATTACAGTAGGGGATTACAGTATTCACGAATTCAGTTTTTGTAGATCGGTGACGAAATAGAAAAGGGAGATGAGAAAGGATAGTGGAAAATGGTTCGCTATAACATGTAAGGTACGGGGCAACATCCACGGTGCAAAGTCCAGAGAATCTTGATTAATAAGCAAAACCGGACATGATATCTTTATTCAAAAACCCCTCCCTTATTTCTTTACATTAATTAACATGTTTGCTTCGAACACCTACCTTAGGAATCCCCTTAGGTTTTCACTTCGCACCGTTGGCATATCCTTGACCCTTCAAGGTCAAACATTTCACCTGTGACAGACTGCCCATTAGTAAACTGCGCTGCTGTAACGTTTCTATACGCCGCCGCACGACTTCTAGTGCCTGCCCGTTTATAGGATGAATGCAAACCTGTTCCTAAGTTGTTTACTGTCTTTAACTTGAAGTATATAATCATGTTAACAGGAATTTACGCGTTATTTCCCCTGTCTACAGAGTGCATATGGTACAGGTTACAGTTTCGCCATCCCGTCCTGTCCGATTACTTAGCCCAGACTTCGCATAGTCACTACACGAGGGGTGCACAGAAACGAGGTTTGGATAACTGGTAAACATATCCGCATAAATTCCGTCCTTACCTCCGTTTCTCTTGACTTCAGGTTACCGATGTGCCGGTTGATCACGTCGATGATCACATTTCGATCGTTTCGGAAGATCAACTCGGCAGTGTTGGCTGTGTTGAACAGATCAAATAGCAGTTTCATGATGCTATTCCGAGGAGTTGTTGGCGATACATTCGTGGGCAGTGTGGGTAGTTCAGCAGATTTTTCTTGGATAAGTGATTCAGTCCAGAAGCGACGAGCATAGTACCCAGGGTCTGCGAAAGAGGAGGAATTCATGTCTTCCACATCGCCTTCCAAAGCTTTGGTGGCAGCTGCATTACTTTCTTTCTCAGACGGTGAAGAGTGGTGTGCGACGACCTCAGCCCAGCGGACTAACCGATCAACACGTGCCGAACGAGGGAAACACGTAGAGCGAACTAGAGCCATTGGATCCACTGAAGAGGATTAAAACAAGAAAACCCGAAACAGGTAGGTCAGAAAGCCGTAACGCTGCTCTTTGATGGAAATGCGTGAGCAAGTGGTTACGTTCAGAAGAACTAAGTACAAGGCTTATGTATAATACAGAGGGTGCATTTCTCCGTTGGCTAGTTGCGGCCAAAAGCAATGGACAGGGGAGGGAGCTGATGAAAAAATGCAGAACAATCTATGGAGGAAAGATAAAGTTGATCTATAGTCAGACACATGACAACGCCGTGACATTCGGCTGAAGAAACATTTAGTCTGAAGACTAATAATTGTTGATTTGATTAAAATGGCATAAGCTCTGGATTTATGCAGCAAAACACGGATTTCCGTCGGACGTGACAGAAACTGTAAAAATTGAAGATACAACCACAAAAACCTCGAGATAAAATCACGTCCACATATTACCATTGGTTGTGCGAACTCGGAAGAGAAAGGTCAGTATTGACTGACTGGCTTAAGAAGAAATAACGAAGAAAAGGGAGCTGCGCCCAGGGGGTAGAAACAAGATCCGCTAGTGATAAGTGTTCGCGAAGAACCCCTACTGATAATGCGAAATTATAGACAACATTGTCAGAGGGTCCACTAAATGGACGGGTGGCCACACGTTTGGCCTTATTAAGGATGACGTGTTGGCGCAATAGCGAGTGAACATCGAGTCTACCGAAGCGACTTCGCTTACTAAGGTGTAAGTATAGTTTGGTTAAGCCTCCTTGCCGTACATTTCACGATGAGTGGGCTCTAATGTGGTGACGCTTAAGGCATAACTAGGGGAGTATTAGAGATGCTCCGGAGACGAATTTGTTACATGGTATGTGAGGTGTAATGGAACTGCTGAACTGCAAAAGTGGGAGAAAATGATGCGTGGATGGATTTTCGAAAAGCAACAAGGCTTGAATCAACTGTGAACCATATTCTAACGTAACCCCGTATAAGCCGCAATGCGTATCTTCGCAGGCTAGTGAAGGAAGGGTAGACATAGTTCCAAATATTGATACACGTACTTTATTACAGGTAGAAAGCTTCGCTTCAATAGCATGAAACACATTCACTGTTCGCTTTGTGGTATTTGGTGAATGTAATGGAAACCAATCATGACTGAATGATCAAATAACAGTCCGCTGACAAAGGCAACTAATTCATACATATGGCTCAATTTTCAATACACAGCTTTAACTGCGTCCCAGAGTATCAACCCGAGGCCCTGAACAGGGCCGAGAACAGCGGATATGCGTTGACGGTAGCAAGTGTGAAAAACAAGGCGGTTAATCAATAACATTTTGACGAATGCAAGGGTCGGCCATTTTGTTTACTGACCTCGATTGATCGGACATGCGATTCGTACACATGCTCAACTCCAAAGTGATTTGCAAGTAAGGACACGTTAGTTGGAATAGACGCAATCAACGGAGAACTCGTAGATAAAAGCAAAGACCTATAAGCTTGAGGTGAAATGTGGGCGCCCAAAAGATCACAACAAACTCGTAGAGAAATGATTAGGGAATCACTGTTATTTCTGTAATTTGTGTAGTACCTGTGTCAACCATCGTGAAATGTGTCCCGTCGATGACAAGATGAAAACGTATAGGTAGGTGGAGCCAAACTTAAGGGTGATTTTCAAGACCTGTGTACAATCGCCGAAGCACCAAAACACTTTGTTTCAACGCCAGTAGAATAGACAGATTAAGGCCGGTGAAAAGTGGCTCGACAGGCACAAGTAGAACTAACCATCACGATTGAAGGCTTGCACGACCAATTCAAGGAAATTTTGAGAGGCTGAAGGTTGACTGATGAGGGCTTCAAGTAGAGGGATCTTACTCACAAGTGAAGGAGAAACGCCCTCATATCCCGTGGAGCGTTTGGCAGCAATGAAGCAAAAGTGCCAGTTGCACGAGAGCAATAGGATTGCCGCCGCGTGCTGCAACTGCCTGTCGAAAAAGGGCTCCAAGGTGACTGAGGAAGATTCCGTGGCCATGTTGAAAGGATCAAAATCGATCAGGGAAGTAGTGTCGACACTTCCAATAGGACCGATGAATCGCAGAACGTGAGTGAGAAATTTGCAGTTAATTTGTTCTGAAAGAGCGACAAAAGTCGAGAAGATAACCAACTAAATGAATTTTGTATACACAATGATTGAGCTTCGTTCAACGCGTGAGATCGACATACCGAGTTGCGGTGGATGAATTTAACGTGAGTTACTGCAATAATACTTACTACTGTTATTGCATATAGTGCACAAAAGGAATAGGTAGAAACTGCAATCGCTAGATGGGGCGGTTAAAGGCGAGGAACTAGATGACAAACAGTGCGAGTGGAAACGGTACAATGAAATATGACAACAAAATAATTGGACTTAGAGAACTAACCCCGCAAATCCACAGGCAAAGCTGTCTCTTTGGCTAGCAGGGAAGTCAACAGGTAGAGGCATCTAGCGATGTGCGCAATATCTGAAAGCGATAAAAAAAGAACAAAATGAAAATGCGTTATAGCAAACGGGGAACATTTTGTTAGAAATCAAATAAGATAAAGAGCCTATCGAAAAACGAACGTTTGTGCCAACCATTCCTTTACGATGCGTAATGTAGACACGGAAAAATAACCAGGAACGCTCAACGGTGCTGACGTGAATCGAAGGAAAGCGATCACCGTGACCACAAACAACTCGATGTCCGATGTACGGAGAACAAGATAACGAGTTCAGAATACAGAAGCTTTCCAAAACGTGAAAGCCTCGATCCCAAGTGAGGAAAAGCTCAGTGACTGACTTTCTTGACAAATCTCTGGGGAGCTAAGTTGCGTTCTTCTCACTACCATCAACAAAACGGCCAGCTTTTGACCATCAACGAACAAGGCAAAATGGAACAATACGGACACCCGGAAAAATATAAATGCGTCTCATGTTCGCGGAGCCAAATGAACAGGAAGATAGTATTCAGAGAACGGGCAGGTATATTAAGACTTGGGGATTTAAAATCAGAAAGCAGACACAATGACTTGGCATCTCCCATTAAAAGCGTAGTCATCCGAGGAACCAGACTGCACCTCAAGCTCTACGAAAAGAAAGATTCTTGCACCAATTCAGAAGCAAACAACTGAATTATAAATGCAATATGAATACATATGCCCTGAACCACTTGATTGAATGCACACTTCGAACCGTCGATCAACCGGGTGCGCAGGGGACATATGTACAGCATGGTGTTATGGGCAATAAAATTCGTGAGGCGGCGAACTGCGTTCTATTAGTACATGTTTAGGTGTGACTGTTCTTTCATGTACTAGACAAGGTAATAAAATCAGACAGAGAACTCGTATTCCCAAGGTCACGACATTCGTTACCCTAATGAAGTATGCATCCACTCGAAGCTGAAAGAAAATGGTGGTTCGAGGCCCACATAATAAAGTGAAATGCAACAACACAAGCCCAGCTTGAAAATGTCTAACGTTCGGCTTCGCTTCCATATGCGAAACAAATAAAGGATGTTAAGAAATAAATTGTGCGGAGCTGAGAAGTGAGCATCATGTGGTGCGTAGAGGTGGTGTAAAGAAATCAGGTAAAACGAAAGGCGCTGAACAAAGCTCACCAAGATCGCCTTCATGTGTGCAAAGTTCGCGAATCAGTTCGTGCGGGAAGGGAGACGTGATGCAGACGGATGAACAGTTAGGATCGGCTAAAAAACAGGCTTCCACGGTTACAAGCAGCTTTTGGCGAACAGAAGAGTTGCACTTTCTATGGTACAACTTGATGAGGTGCTGCAACGGTTCATAATTTTTCAGACTCAAAAACAGTTGGATAAGCGACGGGTCGGCTTTGAGCTTCCGGAAAGGAGGGGAATGAATAGCAAAATGAATGCACGTATCCGATGAAACGAATCAAGGTAGGAGTAACTAAATCAACACACAGCGGTGAGTGGATGAAATGATGACGAGTGTAATTCGAGTGCACAATATGCGCAAGAAATGTCAGATTGACGTGGCCTTCAAATCGGTCGTTGGCTTTTTCGCTAAATATCATTTTATATCATTTACAGTAGAGATATCAGTTTCGTAAAAATAAGCTGACAGATTTTTTGTTCAAACAATGTCTAAGGTCACTGAGCAATCTATTCTATCCATGCTTTCAATGTAAACACAGATATCGCGCACGGTCTCCGACCTATTGTCTTTGGACAAAATTTTACTTCAATTGAAAGGTGTGAAGAAACTTCCTATTGCCCTATTGCTTAGATGCTAACTCCAAAGATTTAATTCAGCATTATGCGACTTTGCTTTACCGGGTGATCACAGTGCGCCCTTCTCATTTTATATACCCATTTGTAAACTTGCATTTTTAATACTGCCAATTTCGTACATTTACAGTCGATAATGTACAATGCTGAAAACGCACCCATTTTGGTACATAAAGCGCATGCTGACTTGACTCGACCAATTAGAGGGAACAAGACAGTACCGGATATCACGTTGACATGAAGCATAAGCAATTCAACAACAAGAGGAGACACAAAAAGAGTGTGAAGCGTACCAGCACATCGTTAAGTAAATCCAAAAGTTGCTGCTGAATCAGAGAATCATCGTGTAGTTGCCAGTTAGATTCATGGTCATCCTCCGACAGCCTTGCAACCGAATCAAAGTACCGTTGAAGGAAGTACCAATCTGGGCTTTGGGTAAGCCAGAGACGGCGCTCCTCCATTGAAGAGTCCTAGTGGGAAAATTTTGTGGGAATAAAACTGCTGTTCCAGGCAGTGCGCTGTAGTAACACATGGGTGTCAATTCGTCCTCCCTTACATGTGTGAGTAATTCCGAACAAAACAACGCCAATTCAAGCAGATGCAATTACAATGACGCATGTCGCCATAAGAAGTGATAAAAATGGGAGATATTTAGAGAAAAAGCCCAAACACTCGGAAGAACACATTTAAAAAACAAACACAGGGAAAGTTAACAGGTGGAAACAATAAACTCAGTGAAATATAACTATTGGGGTCCCTACCGTGTCTGTCGGATGAAAGGATTCCAGACCAAATAAATAGACAATACACGAATGTGATTTCACATAGAGAATAACAGCAAACAAAAAGGATAAAAATTCACGGATAAAATGCCATGAGATGCAAAGCAACCGTGCCAAGGCAGCAGAATGAAAATTAAGGCACATTTGTGCATAGCTTCAAATTCGTAGTGCACATCTACGGACGGGGTTACCCGGTGGTTGAGAAACGTGGAATCATTCCATAATAGGACACCGAAGCCTCGATCTATGCAAATAATTCAGGTGCGCAAAGATGGTTGTGTACGAACTAAGTAAAAAGAGCGGTGGTTTTCAAAATCCGAAGTAAACGAGAGTAGGCCTGAAACAAATGGAGCGAGTAGGCGAACTTACTGACAGTGAAGCATCTAAGGCCTTTGTGATTGGCATAACATCCGGAAGATGTGCAGAGAGAAGCTTCAGAAGAACGCGAAGACTGCTCTGACATTCCTCGTATTTTGCGTTAGTCCCAAGTCTCAAGACATCGACCAACTGAGCAGCGATGTTCGTAGGAACGGTTTTAGGTGTAAGCGGATGATTTTGACGTGCTTGGGGAAAAGAAGCTCTGGTGGGGGCTGTTGTAATAAAGAAACATTCCAGTGACAGTTCCTATAATCCCACAGATGGCAAACAATTATCGGTCAACCGGAAACAACCGGTAAACCGTGCGTAGCAAGGAAGAGAATCCAGGGGAGCAACAAGAAAAACTTCAAGCCAAAAGAAAAAACAACCCTTGACGTAACCGCTGCGAGCATACACACACACACACACACACAGAATATACACGTTAGCTAGAGATAGGAAACGCCTCAGCTACTGTGCCGCAATACCTAAAAGAAAAGAAGGGAATAAAATACAACAGGTGCAACCCATTTGAGCTACCGGTAACGGATGGGTATCGTTCCGGTAAGCTAACAGCCGGATACTAAAAAAGTAATTTCCTACGCAAAATTATAAAATGCTAAATTGTGAAATTGTGGTTGGAGGGGGAGGATAAGAGGGATGGGGTGAGACAAAGAAGCTCACAGCACGAATGCCACTGAGGTCCGCTACTAGCCATACCAACAAGCGTATCCAGCCAAACGTGTTCATCGTCTTTTGAACCCAAACCAGCGAGCCGAGACGTCCCAACTGAGGCCAGCTCAGAAGTGAGGGCCTTCATTCCTCTCGACCAAGTCGTCGCTTGGCCAACCCTCCTCTTCTTCCATCCACACCCCCGGCGCGCAATAGGTAACGCGGGATTCAATGAGATGGCATGCGTTTCACGTGGCCGAGCCACCGGAGCCTGGTGCGTGAAATAACGGTGCTGAGCGGTTCATTTCCTTTCCCTGTGCCGTAAACAACGCGTCGAACACGCCCGTTGCTCACGCGGTGTTCCCACCAGATGTGAGCTAAATTGCGAAGGCACCGGTGGTCGAACGTAACTAGATTCTTTATGTCCGATGATCCAAGGGGCCAGGTTTCACAACCGTACAGTAGGATCGAACATAGCGCTGCGTTGTACACTCTACCCTTCAGGGCAAGAGTGATGACGCGCCGGCGCCATAAATGGCGAAGATTATCAAAAGCGCCCCAAGCTATTTCTATACGGTTGGTAACCGCAACTTCAATCCCACGGGCGCTGTTACAACCCCTCATGTAGTTGAATTTTTGAACAACTTCTAACTGACCTCCATCAAGGGTCAGTGTAAGAGACAGTCCAGGTCAATTTTAAAGGAACGCTTTGCACTTCGATGGTGCAAAGCAAAGCTTGAAACGTCTGACAGCCAGTGCTAATCAGTACAGTGCCGCTTGGTACGTTTGTGAGCTGTCACAGATCAAGGGAATATCATCAGCATACTCTAAGTCAAGATGTCATTCTCCTGGGAGCAGATCCACACCATCTAAGCCGTGTCGTATGAACGCGATTTCCATGACTTCATCAACAGCGAAGTTGAAGAAGAAAAGTGACAGCGGGCATCCTTGTCTCACGCCGCTGGAGATGTTAAAGGGCGACGACAACTTGCCATCAGCCCTCACTACCTGAGCTACGTGCATATAATGCTCGGATAATATTTACATCTTTCTCAGGTACACCTTTCCTAAGTAGACAGTCCCAAAGTGCATGTCTATTCACCGAATCGAATGCACCTTTGATATCGAGGAAAACGACTACGGTGGGCCGCCAATATATGTGACCGTGCTCCAACAACTGACGCAAAGGGAAGATGTGGTCAATGCAAGCACGACCTCGACGAAACCCGGCTTGCTCTCCACGAATCTGGCCTTCGTAAGTGTCAGTCAGTCTGTGAAGGGTGACAGAGGCAAGCAAGTTGGCGGAGATGGAGATCAGACTGATCCCTCCATGGTTGCCGCATTTCGATCGTGAGCCTCCCTTGAAAATTGGGACTATGACGGAGCGGCGCCAGTCGGTTGGGACAGTTTCCTGCTCCCACAGTTTCACTAGTATAAATCATCCACCAGAGTAGGTCCCCCGAATTTAAAAAGGGCTGGAGGTAGATCATCAGGTCCCGCGGCTTAAAATCCAACAGTGCGATCTCACGTTCGACTTCTGAGCGATAGGGTGGATCCAAATGGAAAGCCCATGGAGCGGGTCGATCAGTGGCCGCCGAGAAATCTAACAATTCCGACCGATTAAATTGCCTTTCATAGCACTCAGCCCAACGCTCCAAGCGTTTTGACAAGTTGTGGATAGGCTATTTATTCTCGTCACGTATAGCTTCACTAACACCAGATCTTCTGCTGCCCGTTTCCCGTAGCAGCCGGAATAACTTACGATGGTTACCAAGGGCAGCGGCCACTTCCATCTCTGATGCAAGATGAGATCACCAGGATTTGCGGTCTCTCTTCAGGCTAGCACGGAGTCTTGCCCGGAGCTCCTTGCGAGTTTCACTGTGTTCGCTTCCAGCCGGAATATGCGGCGAGCATATATAAGTTCCAAAGACTGCAAAGAGATCCAATGTCTATGTTGGCGATTAGACATACCACATGAGGATTTTCCTGCTGCTAGTAAGGACTGGTGCAGATGAGACCAGTGAGCTTCAATTGCACCCAGTGAGCGCTTACTCAACTCGCATGTCAGCGTACTTTGATAGGCATTCAGAATAGCTGGTTTCGCCAGCTGGCTGGTGTCAATGCGCCCATAACGTCGTCTTGGGCGTCTGCCAAAACGCATCCGCAGGTCAGCACATACGAGTGCATGGTCGGTGTCAACACCTGTGCTCCAAATCGAGAGACAGTTCTGGATGCAGCCTCTCCATCGGTAACTGATCGCAAGGTGACCGATTTGCGTCTAATGACCGTGGGTGCCAAGTCACCCTCCGGCGGGTGCTGTGTCGGAAATTAGTGCTCGCAAGAAATAAGCGAGCATCTTCACACAAATGAAGTAACCGCTCACCGTTATCATTACAGGAGCCTACACCATGTTGGCCGCTCAGATGCGGTTCCTCGATGGAGAATTTTCCAACTTGAGCGTTCAGATCCGCCGCAAGCAAAACATCGTCCGAGCTTCTTCTGTGGCGAAGGAACTCGTTTAATTGGCGATAGACGTCGTCTTTTACCGAACCATCGCTAGGTTGTGGGTTCGTAGGCAGCAATGACAAATAGACACCAATTAGTCCCGTGCGACTTCGAAGCATTGAACGAGCCAGCCAATCGGACGGCACACATCCGGCTACTGATTGGAATCCAGTCAACCAGAGCAGCTACAGCCCAGGGACTCAGGGCAATACCGACAACGGATTGGCCGGTGCTTGAAGCTGCATCGTCACCAGATAGGCGCATTGAGAAAGTGCTGCTAGTGTCATCTGAAGGGGATCGCAAGGTGAGCACAGAGCTCGAGTCTTGCAGGCGGGTCTCCGATAAGCAGCAGATATCGATGGAGAGGGTCTCTAATGTTCGGGCAAATGCTGCCTGTTGACCGATCTGTAGCAATGTGCGTACATTGAGACATGCCAATCTGAAGGAGGATCGAGGGCTCCAAATGGAAGTCGATGAACTGAGCTTGGCCGCTTGGTTGGACATGGGCTTGTCGATGGAACAGGAATGACGCTCCGCGTTTACCTGTGAGTTGAAACTAGAAGACAAGTGACTATTGAAGCAAGGTGGGGGAAGGTCAAGAATTGGGGGGTTGAAAACCGGGGGAATAAAAGTAAAGTTCGTACGGGACGGTAGGAGGGAAAAAGTGTAAGGGGGGAATAAGAAGATGGAAAGGTTTGAGCAGTAGCATCCAAACCTCTATCCACCCTGCTCGATGCAGCAGATAGGGCACCGTTGATTATTCTCTGCGGTGGCCAGAGCATCAAGAAACTGTTTGAAGAAAAATTCGTTGTATTGCATGGGCAGGATACTGTCAGGTTGTCCAGGGCTAGACAGGAGAACGATTAGGGTTCTCAACCAAAGCCTTTGGTTCAAAAACCTGCCCACAAGGTAGCAGGTTTGAAGTTGGCCTACAAGGAGTCCGTTTTAAGGTATAAGGAGCTACCTCATTCCAACCCCCAACGTGGAGGACCAGAAGGCTGAGTTTGTCTGGCCTCTAACTATTGACCAATCCGGTATGAATGGCTCAGGTGCAAAACAGCACCACCCAGCATAGCTCAACTGATCGCTGACGCACACAAACCATCGCACCACGGTAAGGTCCAGCCTCATTGCGATGGGCTGCGAGCATAAGGAGAAAGGAGACAATATTGACGAGGAAGCGCTTCATACCCTACGCATCACAAGGCTCAAGTAAATAATTAGGTGAATGCATGCCCAACTGATAAGACTTCGGTAGCAGTATCACAAGTAATCAGCGACATCTGATCGTACATGTGTTACTGTGACTGCAAAGTCATAGGACACCTGCAAATACAAGCAATTCATTGCTCCAGAACATCGTCGTGTTCAGCGGGCGACATTTAAGTTGACGCGAACTTTCGTGTTGATAAGCAGGACGGTCATCACAATGGATACGATCAGAACATATTTAAAGAGATAGATCATTAATATCTACTTGGTAGCAGGCATTGACTCCAAAGCGGCCACCCACATGTTGGGCGGAGTTGGGTGTTGTTGTCAGGAACGGGCACTGTCCGTTTCGGTCAAACGGATGATGGACGAGTTGCCGATAAATTTTGTCTTTGACAGCCTGAGTTTAAATCGGTGGGGCCATCTACGTGTGAATATTCGCTGGGTCTCAGTTTAATAAACCGCGACCAGCTGTTCTGCTAGCCGTAATGACGACATCGTAAATATCTCCATTCATTCATGCAGTATACACATTAGCCAGAGGTGGAAAACAAAATTATGGTGCCGGTAAATGTCCAGTTCTATACTTTTTCGGTACAGATGCAAAGAATGTAATTATTTACAATAAGTCCTGGGCAAAGTGGCCAAAATAAATTACGAAACCAACCCTGTCATCTACAACATTCCTAAATTGCATGTCAGCTTGTAAATCATAACGGTCCGCCCCTGTCTCCCATGGCTTAGCGGTATAAACCGCTGGCTGGTGGTGCAAGTTTCTAGTGGTTTTCGGTTCGAAACCTGATGGGTTCGCACTAGTGGCGAATAATTAATAACAGTAATAATA